AGCTGTGAGGTGTTACAGCAATGCGTTTGCTCTTTGTGTGGCATCACAGCAGTGGAAGTCAAGACATTGGGTCTCACTCACTGTGTTCTTCAGTTGTGAATTTGGCGGAAAGCTTTTGTGTAACGTTTATTAATGTGCATATAAATGTGAAAACTTCATGCAGATATTAGTAAATGATTCCCAGTATCTGCTATTGGTCTGTGTAATCAGCAAAACTCAGTGCAATCACTGTTCCTTCACAAACTTTCTGCAAATCAGAGGACGCACACTTCGGTCCCTCTACACGTGATTTATTAGAGCAGCAGCTGCTTTAATGACCCTGCTGGATGTTTTACAGATTTGTAAAACCATTAGAGGAATCAATACTTTGCTTTTAGGTGATGAATTAATGAATGGAGGGTGAAGTTTATCCAGACGGCATTAATACAGCAGTGACTGCAGCGGTCTACAGCACACATCCCTCATCTCAGCTCAATCATTTACACAAAACAAACCCATAACTCAACTGTAGATTACATCAGAGTGAAGATGCAGGCTCAGTCTGCAGGTGCTTCCCTCCGCTCATCTGAAACCAGGATCGCTCTGTCTCAGTCTGAATCTCCCAACCCACAGGCTCATCAGGAATGTGTGCTCAGAGGTACATTTTAGTCAACTGAAATACTCTGCTCCGGCTTGCAGGTTTTGTTGACAAATCCAGTAGCGGGTGCTGTCCACAGTTCAGTGAATCTCTAATGTGTTACTGGGCTTCATTATCTTCACTTAAACAGGGGTGCCCAAACCTTTCCATATGAAGAGCTCAAATCTACAAATCACTGACAGCCGTGGGTCAAAAATGTTTATACTAAACTATCTTACATTAGGGCATCACGGTGGTGCCGTGGGTATCCCAATCACCTCACAGCAAGAAGGTCTCTGGTTTGAGTCTCGGCTGGGTCAGTTGGTGTTTCTGTGTGGAGTTTGCATGTTCTCCCCGTGTTGGTGTGGGTTTCCTCCGGGTGCTCCGGTTTCCCTCACAGTCCAAACACATGCGCTATAGGGGAACTGATCAACTACACTGGCCATAGTGTATGAGTGTGTGTGTGTGTGTGTGTGTGTGTGTGTGTGTGAATGCAAGAGTGTATGGTGGGTTGCAGCTGGAAGGGCATCCGCTGTGTATAGCATATGCTGGATAAGTTGGCGGTTCATTCCACTTTGGCGACCCCGGATTAATAAAGGGACTAAACTGAAAAATGAATGAATGAATGTTACATTACAGTTGCCTTGGTTAATTTCCTTACTTATTTAATCATATTTAATATATATATATATATATATATATATATATATATATATATATATATATATATATATATATATATGATTTACTTCAAATTATATTATCTAATGTACTGTAACTTTTAAATGCAATTAAAACAAGCAATCACATGTATAACACAGTGGAGTTTTATGTGTATTCGATGCTGAATTCTCTGCATTTTCATGTGACAGTATGTACATTTAGACAAAATCTGATTCATTTACACCATTTAATTGAAACATTTACCAATAAAGCAAATAAAAAAGGGTTACATTCTATCCCCATCATCCCCCTCTCTTCTGGGATGGTGATCAAATAAAAGGTTCCCATGGGCTTTAGTTTGGGCATCTCTGCATTAACCCAAACCAATAGTGTTTTCAAAAGCAAACAAGAAGAGAAGCTCGTCACCATGTAGTTTTACCACATATTCAAATTGTTTCTTGTTTATCTGGCGTCTGGTACAGTCCTTTGCCAGATTCACACCTGATCTACTCCAGATCACAAGTACGACACTAAACGAGGTGAGCTACTGAGCAAACTGACCACTAGAAAACAAAACATCTATACAGAGATAAGTGAGTGAGACGAGTGTGTTTGATTACAGATCACACATGTAGTGTCCGTTTACCCAGAACTTGCAGGCTCATGGATTTGCAGTTTACGAAAAATGTAGCCCGCGGAACTTCTGTCAACTATAAACTTAACTTAACACTAGAGGGCGCTGTCTACATCTCTGCGAATCTCAGATATGGTACTGGCATACGTTTTATAATACGTGACATTTACATGTCCTTCTCATACACATGTGCAAGACGCTGGGGTTTATTTTGTGATAGACTGACCTAAACCCTTCCCTAAACCAATACGACAGTGTTTTCAAAAGTAAACAAGAAGAGAAAGCACATTGTGGCTTTACCATCATTTTGACATTGTTTTTATTTTGTTTATCTGGTTTCTGAAGCCAGCCTTCGCCTCAGTCGACTCCACATCTCAAGTCTAACACTGTACAAGGTGAGCTACTGAGCAAACTGACCACCAGAAAAGCCATTAAACAGAGATAAGCATGTGCAGGTCGATTGTGGATCACAGATGTAGCTTTCGTTTTACCCAGAAATTGCAGGCGAACATTTGCTGAGGACTGTATGATTTGCCAAAACTCTAGCCCTGAGAATGTCTTCTGTGTTGAATCTCCTCTGCAGCTTGTTTTTGTCCTTGCTCTACAGCTCAGTTCCTCGTTTTCTTACCCTTTAACATCTCATATCTTCTTGCTGGAGCTCATAAAGCAGCGAGCGAGTCTGAGCGCGTAATGAAGCTGAGTGTGATTTAATGCTACACAGATTTGATTTAATTCCCTGCAGCATTAATATGTGGTTCAGGCGGTGGAGATGTGTCTGTCAGGGACTATAGCAGAAGCACAAGGACGATCAGCTCTCGGTCTTTGTGCTTAATGTGCTCTGCATCACATGCAGGACACTGCTGAGGTTTGTTTTATTACAGTAATAACCAGATGACTGTATATAATCTTTCACTTTATGCTTTGACTCAGAGATGCCTGATTTAACTGTGATTTACTTCAGTTACTGAAATGAATGGTAGTGCCTCTGTTTTACACTTTAGTACTGCATTACAGGTGTCAACAGTGGTGTGTTCTGCATACAATAGAGAACTTTACCCCAACCCTAATTGTAAGGGGGCTAATAACATTGACCATAAAATTATTAATAATAAAAAAACAAACAAACATAAAACTTAAAAACTAAAAGTTAGACTTTCTCCAAAAATACGGAAGGAAGGAAAATGTCCTTGTTCTGATAAACATCACTTGGGGAGATATTTAAAAAATAATTACAATATCAAAGCAGGGTGAATAAGTGTGTCATTCATTCATTCATTCATTCATTCATTAGACTTAGGCTTAGTCTGTTATTCATCAGGGGTCGCCACAGTGGAATGAACCGCCAACTATTTCAGCATAGGTTTAACACAGCAGATGCCTTTCCAGCTGCAACCCAGTACTGGGCAACATCCATAAACACTCATTCACACACACACACACACACACACACTCATACACTACGGTCAGTGTAGTTGATCAGTTCCCCTATAGTGCATGTGTTTGGACTGTGGGGAAACCGGAGCACCCGGAGGAAACCCACACCAACACGGGGAGAACATGCAAACTCCACAGAGAAACACCAACTGACTCAGCTGAGACTCAAACCAGAGACCTTTATGCTGAGAGGCCACAGTGCTGACCACTGAGCCACTGATGAAAACCCTATATCAGTTATGAGTGAAATGTGGACTGCTCTGGCTGATGTTATGCAGTGAGGTTTCTGCAGTATGGTGAAGGTGTGGAGTGTTTGTGCTCTGACAGACTCATCACGGTGAACAGTTGAACAGAAGCTGATTCTCCATCAGGAACGCTGCGGTTTATCTGTCATCTCTCTCCCTTCACCCTCTGCTTTCTGACATGATCATCCCTGGAGGAATGGCTCTGTTCTCCTGCTGTCTTTGTGCTGATGTGGCTGTCTAAATGGAGGAGAGGAAAGGGCAGGAGAGTCACAAACAAACACTCTTCATGCGGGACACACAAGACTATCAGAGGAGAGAAAGAGACAGTCATCCATTCATCTCTACAAACATCACACGCAGACTATAGAGGACTCGCAGAGCTAATGAGGCTCTTCTGGGGTCAAATCTGGAGAATGAATGAATGAATGTATAAGTGGATGAATGAATGCATTAATGTGTGCATGATTGATTGATTGAACGAATGAAAAAATACAATAACAATGTATACCAGACATGGTCAAACCCGTCCAACCAAAGTTTCATTGATATTAAATGATAAATATATACAGGTGAAAACACAGATTCAAAATACATTACTTATATTTTTCAATCATTAGATAAAAAACAAAAAACAAAACAAACATAAACAGTCTGTTTTTTTGAGTCTCTGTGTTGTCCACATTCTGCAATGCAGAAAAGAAGAGGAATATAATAACAGAATGTGAGTTGAGCTGTTTTTGTAGAAGTCAGTGGAAGTGGATGAGAGTCAATAAGACAATAAGATTCCAATGGCTGCGTCTGCTCATTCATGAAGCCAATACGAATTCAGTGAGAGCGTCTGCTCATTGCTGAAGAACAAGGTCAATACCATGTTACCAACAATACCAACAATATCATATATGAAACATAAACTAACTTCTCTTGGCCAATAAAGCTGTTTTTTTCAGCTCTGCTCTTTTATAGACAGCTCTTTTCATCTCTGTGTAAAAATGTTCATAAAGTCTTCATATTTTCACATATTTTAATCTTCATCATTGCAAAAATCAGTCATGATATGTATGTTTTGAGCGCTGCGATTGGCTGTTTGCTGCTGAAGTCCCGCCCATAATCTCATAACTATTTAATGTACGAAACCATAATACAAAAATATTTAGACATTTAAGCAGATAAACACTGGAGTAAATTATTAATATAGTGTTACATAGAACAACACACATGTATTCAATTTAAAAAGATTTAAAGATGCATATTAACTTGCTATTATTCCTTCCATTATAATTAATTCATTAAATAAATAAAACCTGTTATATGCAGTTTCTTTAGAAGAAGAAAAATCAAATTCAATTTCCGTTGTGATTATAAAAGTGGATTATAATGGAAAAACAGCATAGTTTCCATGTAGAAAACATTAGAGTTTAACATGAGCCTTTGTTGTGGATACGGAAGCTCTTCCCCCACCTGGAGAATATTTAACTGCGACACATCATAAAACCCAAAGTGAAACTATTGTGAACACTTCAGCTGCCTTCTCCACAGTAATTTTGAATTTATAGAAAGAATATATAGAAAGAGAGAGAGATTCTGTGAATCAGCTAAGAGGACAGACAGACGAGTTCAGGAGATGTCGCGGTATTACAGCAGGTAATCGGTCAGTAATGTCTTGTGCTGCTGTGTTGAAGATGCGTTTAGCTCTTTCGAAAGACGTGTGCTTCTGATCTATTGCGTTGGCTTGGTAATGTAGTAAAAATCAGTAAACAGAAAGTCATCGGCAAACGGGTTAAGAAAAAATGCAAATAAATGTTATATGCTGATACAGTTGGATGTGAACACTGTGTTTAATTAGGTCGGACAATAGCATTTGTACAAAACATGTAAGGATATGTCGCTTCCTGCATGTGTAACCCCTCTTAGTTCGTATATGTTTTTTTTTTAATGATCACGCGGAAGCAGTTTACCTGAACAAGTTCACTTTATAGTGTTCTCCAAAAGAAAAAACAGGGCTCCACACAGACAATAAGTGTACAAGGGCTGGTCATCAGAAAAAAATCACTCTCAACAGCTCTTGAACAACAAGTGAACTCACAAAATGGCCGGCTGACTCCACCCATTATACCCCCTTTCTCACCTGTAGGTGTCTGTTTTTCCCCATGATGTATTACACAGTTTAACAGTGAACATAGGATTTTGATTTAATTAGAACAGATATTTTTAACAAAAACAAGCATTTTGACACCATTCATACTTAATTCACAGTTTCATTTTTTCCCCCGTTACATTCTCCCCCACTGAATGTGACAAAATGCGACAACCTTAGAAAACACAAAAATGCAGAAATTAACCAAGAATTGCCATTCTTAGCACAAAGCTTTTGATCCGTTTTATCTGTTCAAATTAAGAACTGATAGGAAAAAGTGCTGCGCATATCACTTATCCTGATCATGACCCAAATGACGTGCCTTTAACACATCACACTTGCAATTCATTTCACTTGTTTTCTACAGAGACAGATACAAAAAAAAATTCTGACATATCAATGTTTCAAACTAACAATTGAAAAGGACCATTTTCCCAGACTTTGTTTTCTTGAACTAAACAAGGTCTGTTGACTCAT